AGACATACCATCATCAGCAATACCAATTGTTAGGGTACCACCTCCTGAATTTAAAAACGCTGAACCATACTTCCTTATGTGCTACAAGAAGAGAAGGAAGGAAAGAAAGAAAAAGAAAGGAAAATTTCTTCATGTTGTTATTAAATCTGAACAAATAATAGTCTTAATATTTTACATCCACAAAATAAAACTACTATACATACAGTACTCAGTACCATTGGATTAACCTGCTCTAAGTTATTCAAAGCAAAATTTCCAACTTTGTACTCTGTGTGTCTCGTTTCAGTATTCACTAACTTTGAACCAATTTTATAAGTGGTTCTTTAAATAAAGAAAAGAAAAAGGTAGTCTCGTGGTTTCACGTACAGACAGTAAGGAAGACAATAGTAAAATAAAATTGCTATTTATTATTATTATTATTACAGCTACTTTGCTCTTGCTGTAGATGGTGAAAAGGATAGCTCTGGAGTAAGAGTGTAGACCATTGAAGAATCAGCCATTTTATTACAAACTGGAATGGGTGGAGTTGGAGCAGTAAGCATATGCATGCAGTACATGAATAAATCAACAATGAAGTAGTGTATGAATCTTCATCATTGACTGATTTAGGAGATGATTCAGGCTGCAAAATGCAACTCTATAGTACATTGCAGGTGCATGTATTTGTGATTATGTTCATTGCAGTTTGTAAAACTTTTTTTGAAATAAGATTCAAAGATTGCTAAACAAAAGCAAAAAATTACCTAGTGCACACAACACAAGTAACAACTTCATTGGCAGCATAAGGTGGACAAGGAATACCAGTACATGTTGAGAGGATAAAGTAGAATAGGGCACCATCATTATTAGCACCACTCCCATCAATGGATTCAGGATTATCATCAACGCACTCGTGTAAGCTATTTTTCTTGTGAGTATGGTGACTGGTCATCAGGTATCCTTTATATTCCATAGTCCATGACGAAGGACAGCTGGTTCTAGAGGGAATCATCAGTTTAGTGCTCCTGTTTGGTGCATAACAAACTGCACAAGGAACATTGTGATCATGCTTCCCTGGAAATATACCATTGACATCTTGATATTCAGAACCATATCAAAGAATAATTAGGAGGTATAGGTTTCTTCATATTTTGAGGCCCTTTCGCAGGCAAACAGACATGGTTGGCTCCTCCTCCTATATGTTTATGGTCACCACCTGCAGCTAGTCCCTCATAAACCAGTTCCGCTCCAGTAGGACAGGACTTCCTTCCCCAACGAGTGTACGCTACTCCTCCACTTTTAGGACCTGCTGGTCCTAGTGGTCCAATATCACCCTTATCACCTTTATCACCCTTATCACCTTTTAAATAAATAAACAGATAGGAGGAAATATTTATAATCTTTACAAAATACAGTTATAACATGGGGTCTCATTCCATTATGATTACCTTTAAATGTATTATCATAATCCTTGCTTGTAGTAGATAATACAAAAATGGAGAGTGTAGTCAGTATAAACAGAGACTCCAGTAGGTTCATTTCTGCTGCCGGGATTCAGATCATAAAACTAGCTAGGGCTACAAAGGAGTAAAAACCACAGCTACTCAGCTAGATCTAATTGTGTGGGTGTTTTAACTGTTTTTATACTCCCACAATTGCCCACACAAATGTTCCTTGGTAAAGGTAATTTTTCCTTACACATTATAGCTTTACATGTACTAATGTAATGCTGAGTGGAATTTTGTGCTGATTCCAATAAACCGTATTTTTGGAACTGAACTGTGTATGCAGGCCGGCAATATTTCATCAGAGATAGCTAAGACTGAGAGAATTTAACTGTCTTCACTATCAGCCTCAGCAGCAGGAAACAACACAAATGATTCATTCAGTACCAATCAGCTCTCAACTGATAAATAATGTATGTTTATA